GAGGCGGGCGGGGTATGCGCCATCACCATGGCCCGGCTGCGCTCGTGGCTAGGTGAGGTCCAGTGGCTCGTCTTGGTGTCGCTCTTCGTCGCGGCCCTGGTCACGGTGGGCCTGTACCTGGCTCAGTGGGCGCTGGCTAGGGCGCGACCCCGGCCCCGGCGGCGGACGGCGGAGCCCGGCGAGGGACAGCGCCCCGAATCGGACGCGCTGCTCTCCTGGATCCTGACGCTGAGCAGCTGGAGGAGCCAGTGGCAGGCGGCCTGGGTGACCGCCCTGAACCACGAGGCCGAAAGGAAAGGGGTGAGTTTCCGGGAGAGCGGGTCGGGGTCCGGGTGGGGGGCGGCTGACTGCGGGGTGCGGGCAGTCTCTCCTTCCTGGAGGCGTCGCCACAGCCTCTGACAGATCAGGTAGAGCCTTCCGTGGTGCCAGAGCATCCTTGAAAGTTGGGAGAAAGACCCGTAGAGTTAAGACCCTTGATGGGGAGCCAAGAGAGTGATTCGATTTTATTCACCAAACATCAGGTGTGCCAAGCTCTGGGCTTCACCGGGTACAGACTCGCTGTTGCAGGGACCCATCCCCTTCTACCTTCCCTTCCTGGAGTCTAGGGGTGGATTCCTGTGCCCAGTTGGACACTTACTGATTTTTGCCTCTGATGTATGAGTTACTGTGAACCAAATGTACTTTCATCTCTAACAGAGCTGAATTTCATCAAGAATTTACTTCCAAAAGACTTGCATTTCTGAGCATATAAGAAAAGTGACCATTCGCTGAGGGCCAGCCACTTGCCAGACATTGGGTTTGGGGGCTTTTGGTGCATATATCATCTTTTTGGATCCTCACAACTTCCAGAATATAGGCATCATCACCACTTTACAGATGAGGAAACTGAGGCTGGAGAGGTTAAGTAGCCTGCCCAAGGTCACACAGCCTGTGGGTGGCAGAGCTGGAGTGTGAACCCACCTGCCTCTGGCCTCACTGCTCAGGGACTTGTCACTCTGCTGCCTCACAGTCCTGTGGTTGTTTCTTTCATCGTTAATTACTTGGTGACTTATTCTTACTTTTAAGCCATCTTAGTTTAATGACAAGCTCCAGGCGTCTACTATTTTTAGGCATTCCAGAGGAGGAATTAGGAACTGGGTCTGGGGAAGTTTTTCCCAGCTTGTGCTCTGCGCCTTGCTTCCAGGTGTGTACATTCCTGCACCTACTTGTGCAGCTCATCTACTTTGGAAATAGTGAAGGCTGCCTCTTGGTCCCATCAACCTTCAAAATATTCCATAGTGGGCCCTGTGCCTGGTCTTTGTGCCATGGCCTTGGCACACTTGGCCATGGAATTAAAAAAACAAAAAAGCCTTGAGTATAAATTAGCATAAATCTAACAATTTAAAAGAGCTCGTTGGAACTCTTGAAAAGAATAACTGCAACTTTTGGATGAAAAAAAAGCTTCAAGGTCAGTTGACTGGCTTCTCTCTTGGTGCCTAGAATCAGTGCCTCAGCTATCCAGAGCTGGACATCTACTCGGGGAACTGGCCACCTCTTATGTAAGCCTCAAGCTGTGTGTCCTCACACCCGAGAGTAAACACAGAGATTTTTCCCTCGAAGCTTCTGTCATTGACCGCTGATTGACCTAGTATCACGAGTGGGCACAGTCTTGTCCCCGTTCTCTTCTGTAGGGTGTGAGCGAGTGTTGGGTGAACGCTTTGAGGGATCCTAACACTACTAACACTCAGACTCCTGACTGCGTTTCAGGCTCAGAAGCAGTGACCCCACCTCCTGTAAATTTTGGATGGGCCTGGCTTAAACCATTCTGTGTCATCTCCTGACATTTTTGGCTGGCTTCAGGAAGTCACCTTAGCTCTACAAATCCAGATTCCCATATGCCTGGAGTGTTGAGAGAGAGGAAGAGGTTCCTGCCTTGGCTTTTGTCATGTGTTGGTAAAGTAAATCTGGGAATACTGGAGAAAATATTTGAGTTTCAGATGAAAAGTTTTCACCTAAGTCTTCACGTGGGACCAGAGAAGGCTTTGTGTTCAGAGAATGGGAAGTGAGATTCAGCTTGTTTGCGGTTTTTCTGTTCTCTACCTGCTGTTGGCCATTGCAGTCTCAGACCTCATTTGTTCCACAGCTGCCATCTAGGAGCAGCAGTGGTGTATTGGGCTCAAGCTCAGAGCAGCCCAGAGGCTGCTAGGGCATGTTTGGTGGCTAGGATGTGTTTGGTGGCTGTGACGGGTTGGTTCACTTTCTCAGTAGAGCCCTGTGTTGGTGCCTGGGAGTGCCGCTCAATTTGAATTCAGATGGAGGGTTTGGCAGGCAGATAGGATCTGGGTGGCTCAGCTCCCCATTACTGACTTGTACGCACCCTCCCGTGTCCTGGGCCATCGCCGTTGTCACAGGAACAACAGCGTGGGTGCGCAGGCTCCAGCATCTGCATCAGTGGGTGCCCTGACCCCAGCCGCCACCCTGCAGGAGCTCTCTCCGCCCTCCCCCCACCTCAATTCCCACTAATCCCCGATTAGGGCTGACACTCCAAGCCTGCTCTTGGCCCACAGAGCCACAGCTTAGTGATGTCCTCCCTGCCCCTGCTTCGTCCTGCTATCATTCTGTCCTGGCCAGAAAGGAGACCAATTCTCTGCTTGTCACTTGGGGAGTGAGGGGACACTTATAGTAACTTAATCATATCCAGCATCTTCCATGAAAGGTGGAATTTTCTATCCAATGGAGACAGTAACTCTTCCAGTTCTTTTTCTGTGTCTTTTTGTGGCTGGCTGGTACAGGGATCCCAAACCTTGACCTTGGTGTCATAATACCATATGCTAACCAACCGAGATAAACATCCTGCCCAGCCTCCAGTTCTAAGTATTACCACGGCTTTGTGTTTTAAGATGGAAAGGAACCCACATCTCTTCTAGCCAAGCTCCTTCCTTCTTCAGAAGGGGAGACTGAGGCCCGTGAGCTGGAGAGAGTCACCAATGTCAGCCTAGACTGGGCCGAGATCTTCACAGTCCATCCACGGATGCCGCCACGCTGCCCTGTGGGAAGCAGAGTCGACTTTGACACCCAAATGTCTCCTTTGACAAGGTTCAGCAAGAAGAGCTAAAGAGCACACTTGTTTAAGGTCCATCCCCAGCAGCGGGGCGCGTGTCTTCTGGGGCTGAGGACCAATCAACAACTTGTGGAGTCGCCTTTGCTCTGTGATGACCAGCCACTGTGGTGTGCAGGCTGCCTGTGTAAGAAGGGAACCCAGATTCCAACTCTCACTTCAGAAATATTTTTAAATTTCACGGGACCATGAGTTAACTGAGAAATGGATGCCAAGTGGGTGTGAGCACAGGAGGGTCACCCAGAGAGCTTGGAAATACATGCACCTGCTTCCCTCCACCCCAAACTCTGACATAGTAAGGCTTGGACTGGCAGGGGTGTGGGGAGAATGCTGTATTTTTTACAAATTCCTCCAGCACTTCCCATGGGTTGAGAATCACCAGGAAGAAGCCACCAGATGACACACACCTATCCCTCAGCCAGCCATCAATCAAGAGTCACCCTACATCCAGCAGCACCTCAAAGTGGTTGTTTAACTTCATCTTTCACATCTCCACTTGGTCTGATGTTGCCATCACCTAATTCACATTGATCTAAGTGCACAGCAGTCACAGAGAACAGGAGATCCCAGAACCAGCTCAGTCGCTGGTCAAGCTGCTTAAGACTGAGACCCCCCCTTGTGCTACCTTGCTTTTGCATGAACACTTATAAAACAATTCACGGTAACAATCGGGTACACCAGGGATGGTCCACACCCCAACACCCACATGGGAGGCCCAGAATTGCTGTTTCTTTGGCCTCTGCAGCTCTGGAAGCCAGCATGCTTGTAGCCAGGTGGCCCTGCCAGTGGGCTGCACAGCACTTCCTCCTGGGACTGGTGCTGCCTGGACCACGTGCTGGTCCCGGAGCAAGGGTGGTGTCCTGTTGCGAGCGCTCTGAGCCTGCCCTAGTCGTGAGCCGCTCAAACTGGCCAAGACCCTGTTTTAGGAGGACCCCAAAGCTGTTTGTTTCTTTAGTCCTTTGGCCCAGGAACGTTCTAAATGCAAATAACCAAGACTATCGGACAATTTGCATTTTTAGTGAAAAAATGATGCTGGGTGAACTGAGAGCATGTTATTAATAGCTCTCACTTCTATATGAGCTTCTGCATTTAAAAAGTAAATAAAGTGGCTACAAGACTTCAGAATCTTCATATTATACAGTGGCCTTCAAGTTGTGTTTACAAAAATCCGAACTCCTTGACCAACGATAGTTAGTGGTCTTGGTGTAAGAAGTCAGTTGGTAAAACTGTGGAGGCCATCCTGCGTAAGGGCCATGGACCTGCCCCTCCCTCCGCCCGTAGAAGGAAAATGGGCCTTGTGGGGGCTCCTAACCCTACATCCTCTACTGTGACCCCCCCACCCCCCCGCAACTAGTCTCCTTTCTGTCACTGAAACATTCATGGCTCTTTCCTGTACGGGACCTTCCCACAGGTCATTCCTTTTGTTTGGAATACTTATCTCTTTTCTCCTTATTTAACTTCTCTAAATCTTTCTGGTCTTGGCTCAAAGGTCCCTGACCTCCTATTTGTGAGGATGTTGCCCCACCCCCACCACAGCAGCCTGAACTTGTCCCTGGAATCAGCATCTGATGGTCACTTGTGCCTTCGTCATCTCCCAGCACTGTGAGCTGGGGCAGAGCCCGGGTCTGTCCAGGCAGAGCCAGATCCCGTACCCAGCACAAAGCTGGCTTGGGGCAGGGGGTGAGTGACAGGCCCCATGGTAGGGGGGGAGAAACAGTGGCCACGTACATCGCCCTGTCTGGCCACAGGCCTTCCTTGGGAGCTGGCCAAGCCTGGGCAAAACAAGCTGTTCAATGTGCTTTGTTTTTCACTTCTAAAGAATCGATATTAAAGGAGGTTCACCGATGACTTTGCAAATCATCAATGTGAAACCCAGAAATAGGTGCCAGCTCAGGTTGTTCTTTGCAGTCACCAGTTCTCCCAGCAAGACAGGAATTCAGGAAAGAGTGGGTGTAGTGTTAATGTCAACTAGAATTCAGCCAAAGCTAACTTCCACTCCTGTTGGCCCACTGTAGTTTGCTGAGGAGGAAAGGGACTTGAGCTGCTTGGAAGGGCTGTTTGAGGCAGCTCTGGAGCCGAACTGCTAGGGTTGGAGTTCCAGCTCTGCATTTGCTAGCTGTGTGACCCTGGGTAAGTCCTGACATCTCTGTGCATCATCTGTGGAAGAGGATAACTTTGGATTCAACCCAGAAAACAGAATTCA